TACGCACGGGCGAAGCTTTTTGTGCACACCGTACATCGGTATGGACGAGGGCCTAAAAAAGGGCACTTCGGTAAAATCATGCTATCTAATCCACAAAATGAAGCTTTAGGGACCCTTCGTTAATAAGTTATCTGTCTCTCCCAGCACGCTGAAGCACATGCTTTACTCGTTTGAAAGGTAGCAGGTAAAAAGTTGCAAGTTTAAAAATTATAAATTATGCATGCAAAATGAAAAATATGCTCAACACTTATTTAGCGAATGCGATCTAGATTTTTAGAGCACAAAATTTTACAAATCGATAATATGCAGACTGTGATGGTTATTTTTTAATGATGGCTGAGTCGAAAATTTGTCATAACCCTTAGTTAGTCAGCCATCGAGTGGGACTGACCTTACGAACACACAACAACTGTTTAAGCACGCACTGACTCCAAATCAAGACACACATTCGTCTAGTATTCCCGATAGGAGGTCGTTCGCCTTGAAGATAGGTATAAGTTTCGTAGTCGTTAGAAGGGCACAGAGGTGGACAAGTGGGAAAGTGGAAGCAGGCATAATTCGTCAAATTTGTCGCTTGAGCACTCGAACATACCGTGAGAAAGGGATCACACCCTCGCGGCCAATTTCTCGCAGCCATGTTCAGCCTGCTCAAACCACTTTGGGGATGTCGTACGGGCTCCTATCCGCCCATAATGTTCCACAAAAACAGGCGCACATAAATGGGCCTCCGGTGTATTCTTATATTATCACCACTTCTCGAATAAGAAGGCCTAAGCAATGTAGTGGGCAGTAGCAACGCTAAGTTCCTAGGACATTCACCCGTTCTCTAATCGTCTGTGCTCTAGCCATCGCGGCAGGACCATTGAGGAAAAATCAAGTAGTCCGTAAACCACCAAGAATGTAGGGTAGAATGGGTGGCCCATCCCAAAGAGGATCCGAACCACACCAAACGCTTTATTCCTCTACACTTTTACTTGGATGAGAAGGGACCGGAATCTATACGAAAAAAGGCTGCACCTTTCAAATGAAAAGCTATACAACAGCTACAAAATTATTCGAGAAAACACTCGGGAAGGATAGACAGAGGATTTGAACAAGGCTCAACACAACAGTACCAAACATACCTTTGTGATATCGTAAATGTACGGCCAAGCTAACTTTCGAAGAAAACATTGCTCCACATGTGTCACATCGGAAACTTTTGGAAGAGCAGTGAAATGTCTTGAAAGAAAAGTAAAAATGACTCCGACCAACAAACAGCACATGCAAAGGAATACAAATATTTGAATGTATAGAATAAAGGTAAAAATGTAAAGTAGGAGAAGAATAGGCCCTTCGGGTGCAGAGCACCCATTCTGTGGGTTCGGTTACTTGTCACGAGCCTTGTCTGGAGGATAAAACCAGTGACTTGCAGATTGGCTGGCTCCTGCAAGTCATTATACGGGCCTTATCGCATTCAAGTGCCACTACGAATGTACAAATGGAAGTGGAAGGGGTGCCACATCCCAAAAGGGATTGATCCACGGCGAATGCTTCATACTTCAAATACGAGCTTAGCTCCTTGTAGTAATGGATGTTCATTCACTCTGAAGCGGCTTCTTTCACAAAAATTGGGAGCTGGGTCAGTACCAAAATGCCAACCTCCCCCATTTATTAGAATCAATCCCCTTACTAAATGTACAATGACATAAAAATGTGAAGTGAATATCGAATTACCGTGATATGAACTTCACAAGCACTTTTTTGATTGTAGCATTTTATTGCAGAAGGGGCATTTGCAAGGCAGCGAAGAACTCCATCCATCTGAAAAATTGTGGGTAAAAAAAAAGAGCAGCCAGACAGATCTTAGGTTAGGCAGTAATGGAATGAAAGGAATGGAATCTACTAGATGAACAAATCACAATGAACGAACCATCAGTATAGCACGGCTCAGCATGAGTTTTGACAATTTTGAAATGAAGAATGTTTTCGCCTATCATCAACGTGAACTTTTCGAGTGGTCCGGCGGCGACTTGTCAAAGACTATGAAAATTCCGCAAAATTCTACAACTGCTATCTGAAAAAATGCTAGACATTCAAACATTTTAGTTGATAAAGCTACCTGCGCTTCTTCCTGTTCGGGAACAGTAGTAACCAGATCTACAACAGTAATAATATCTAGCAAAAACGCAGTATCTCATCCCTAGATGAAACAGCTACCTTCGAAATTAGAGGTAGAAGGTTCCTCACATAGAGTTTGACATGGAAACGTGGCCTCCTTCTGAAACCCATGAGGTGTTCTGGAAAACGGGGAGCTTTGACACCAGCCAATGACTTTGGAGCATGATGCAACTGGCGTAGGAAGGAGGTGGTTTGGCTTAGAAATTACATTCTCTGGTTATCAAATGTCATAGAATGCGAAGGATAAACCCTCATAAATCAAAATTAAACGATGCCGCCACGATCCGATAGCCACTTTGAAGGTCTTTCTACAGCTAAGGTGGTCTAGCCAGAAAAATGAACGTAGAGGATCGTTACTGAACAAAAAGGGGAATTCAACCGTACACGCGGCCGCCTGCCGAATCGCTAAAGAAGTGTGGGAACCGGTCGCTTCGAGTCGAAACAAAAGGCCGATGTCAGACTTTGCGAATCGCGATTCGCTAGCGTCTGCGGTCGCGTCGCGGCCAGTGAATCACTCAATTGGCTGGTACCGCAACGCGACCGCGGACGCTAGCGAATCGCGCGATTCGCAAAGTCTGACATCGGCCTAAGATGGAATGGAACCAATACACAACACCACTCACCTGTAGCATTTCGACTCCACCAATTCTACCGCGCGCATTCCTTCAATACCTGGCCAGTGCTGCTTTCCATGGGAGGAGGAAGGTGCGCCCTCCATCGCTAACTCCACAACACTCCCAACGGAACCCGCCTCCTCACCTTCAAAATGTGCGAATCAGAAAACAAAATCAAGACAAAGAACACCTTTACTCGCTTTCTTGAAAACCTTACCGGCTGTTTCAAAGATCTCAAAACCTTCGTCATTGAAAAGAACCGGACCTTCGAAAGAGGTGAGCGAAATGGCCGGTCCAACTGTGTCCTCCGCTTCCATACCTGTTCTCTGAAGAACGCTGCAATACCTTTACCTTTCAGAAGATTGTGCTTCGGAGGCAAAACGATACAAAACAAATCTCAAATTTAGATAGGAATGGAGAGTGGGGGAAATCGGAGAAGGGTAGGTAGAGGCACTACTGCACAGAGCATCCAAGGGATTCAGAACTATGAAATATTTTCGTTTTCATACTCACTTGGTTCCAATGGGGGAACAAACTTTTCCACTCATCACGCAGCTTCCTCTCCCGCTTTTGATCCTCCCCCCTCTCCACCTACATACTTTTACCACAACAATCTGAGGAATGATTTTCATGTCGATAATGAAAAAGAGCAAGTCTCATGAGAAAGACAGAGAAACGGACCTCACTAATCCAAGAATAACATGATCACTGTGGCACTAATATTTACTACATCAATCCAAAGGCGCAATAGTTTCCATCTGGAAGAGCGAACGAACCCCAGTTCCCAACTTCACGCAGGATAGAGCACGTTTATATGCTCGGCGCTATCGCAATGGCCATCCCACAGAACCAAGCCTAGAAGGGGCAGGAAATCCGGCGAAGCTGAAAATTGCTCCTCAAAACTTAGAATCTTGTCCCATATCCTCCCTCCCTTCATAAGGCTTCGTCTGAGGAAGGAGCGAAACGAACCATCCTGATTATTTCGTTTGTAAAGGTTTTTCTTAATTAGCCTCGATTTTACCGAACGGAGACTTTACGCGTAACGCACTGCCACCACAACCCTCGTATCTTACACTACGCTCTTGTTTTTTTTTCTACTGCTCCATAATTAGCCGCAGCGTATGTCGATTTCTTCGTTCCCGTTACATATAATCCATTCGTGGATATTCTAAGGAACGCAGCACCAAAAAGTTTACGCCTGTTCCTTTTGACTACGGCAATTTTGCAATTTTCAACCGGAAGCAGAACCCACCTCAAGACGTCCTACTTATAAGTAAGCAAGGTTTTCCACTACGAACATTTCACAAAAGTAAATACTAGAAAAGCGTTGTACAGGAATCAAATCTGACGTCGGATGCGGAC